TAGAAGAAAAAGAGAGAGGGAAGAGGTCGTGATTTCCTATCATCGGGAATCAACTTTCTCGACGCCACTTGGAACTTTGTAGCCGCCGCCACCCAAGCTGCCGCTCCTTTTGCACAGCCGTTCATAGAATTCACCACAAAAAAATGCCGCCTCTATAGGACTTGACTCAGATTCGTTGTCGCCAATAAAATCCTCCGTTACCACCACTGTTCCAGTCGCTGCCGTAGTGGACCGTGCGGCGATGCGACATCGAAATCAATGAAACCAGAGCTACTATCAAAATGGGAAAGAAGATGGCTCCACTGAAGCCACAATAGAGTCTCCATGGCTGCTCAAAGAATTACAGTTAGGGGTGTGCACCGGTCCAAAACCAGACCGGACTGGACCGGAACCGGTTAGGACCGGAACCGGAATCAAACATTTATTAAGACCGAAGACCGGACCTGTTGGTTACCGGTCCGGACCTGAATTTTCCGGTCCGGTCCGGGTTTACCCTAGTATGGACCGGATTTGTCCCTATTTTTTTTCATTTCCGTCAGCAGCAATTCTCACTCTGAAGCCAGGGATTCCGGCGAGAATGGGCCGGCGACTCCGGAGAGAACGAAAAGAAGGGGACGAGAAACGATTCCGGCGAAGGAGGACCTGATTGACGACGAGTTTGTGACGAAGGTGGTGCCGATTAAAGAGTTGCAGACTTGCGGCTGTAGGCGACAAAGATATGCGGGCAATCTGCTGTAGGCTCTGCACTAGGTCACGGCAGAGAAAAGGTCACGGCTCTGCTGTAGATTATTGGTTTCATCCTCACGGCCCACGGGTTGATACTTTGATTAATTGGACTGGGCTAATTAGTGGATAGGAATATAGGATAGGTATAAAAAAATTAAAAATAATAATATATATATATAAATTCCGGTCCAGACCGGTTATTTCCGGGTTTTAGACCGGACCGGACCAGAACCCGGAATCCAAAATTTGTTAAGACCGGAGACCGGACCTGAATACTCCGGGCCGGTCCGGACCGGTCCATTCCGGTCCGGGTCAGGTCTGAATTCCGGTCCAGACCGGTTCTTGCACACCCCTAATTACAGTCGAGGCCGCTGAATTCAGCGATCGCCCCTACATGAGCTAGCCAACAACGTCGCTGCTACTCGAATTGACGATCGTTGCCGCATCCGTCGTCTTCGCCGCCGGTTTTGGGGCTTGTTCACCACTGACAGAAAGGACCGCAACGTCTAAATTCATCTGCACCAATATTCTATGACAACTCACCTCTCATTGGATTCCACATTTTGTTTTTTTTCCAAGGGGAAGATTACAAATGAAAGGAGCACAAAGCAATTGGCGAAAAAAGACGAGTTGATGGGTCTCCTTCCCATCTATCAAGAATCAAACAAATAAGGGGTGTCTACTTGCCAAAAAGTACCAATGGTCATAGGGAGCAAAAATAGGGAGCCACATGGTGGGGCCATTTATGATTTCTTCAAGCATTATTCATATATATAAAAAAAATCACTGCATGGCGAAAGGAAGAATCCAAGGAGGCTCCCTCACTTAGGGGGGTGTATTCAATTAGGATTCTAATGGATTTTTTTAGATTATTTAGAATCCGTAGATTCTATAAAGTCCATGGATTATTTTAAATCTATATAGAGTTAAGTAGATTTCAATGTATTTTATCAATAGGATTTTATATGATTCTATTTGATTGTTTATAATTCATGGATTATTTACACATAAATAATTCCTGCCACTGCCCTTCATCTTCCTTCTTTGACCCCAAAATTCCAGCAACTCTCTCAAGTCCTCAAAACAATTATTCAAAGTTCACAAGCCAACGGCAAAATCGAAAGAAGTGTTGGTGAAAGCAAGAACCAATCGTAGGTGAAAGGTTAATCATTGGTGTCTCAGCCATTCCAACCCATTATCATGCCAAAAGAACACAAAACATTCACCAATAATCCACAAACAAACCACCGAAATGAAGAGCAATAGGCCATTCACACATAGCCAGGAACCCAGGCTAAAGAAGATGAACAATTACCAAGAATTGAAAGACTTCATCACAATATTATCAAATCAGAAACCCAAGACTTTCATGAACAAAATTGATAAAGAACAAGTAGGAATCTGAACCATCTTAGAGAGCTCAAATCGCAATGTGAACAGTGCAACAAACTTCCCTTTTGCCTCAATTCATTACCTTAATTAACTATAATCAGGTCTCCAATTTCAGAATCAGAATAGGCTTACCAGATCGCTCATTATTCATCAATAATCGTCCTTCAATTCAACAAGAGTAGCAACGAATGTGGAAGAGATGGCGACCAGAGGAGATGATAGATTGGAAGAAGATGAAGAAGACGCCCGACTGGAAGAAGATGAAGAAGAGATGGTACGGTCGACTGGAAGAAGATGAAGAAGGATGGCGACCAGAGGAGAAATAGATGGAGTTGTCAAAATCTTTACTTTTTGGTGAGATTTTAAGGGTGGATTTGTATTTATACCCAACAAATAAAAATCCATCAAAATCCACATTTTTCACAATCTTTAAGAATCCATCAAATTTTGAATACCATTAGATTTAGAAAGATTTTTTAAAATCTGAATTAAATACATTCAGATTTTAAATAACTTTTTAAAATCTAAATTGAATACCTACGGAATTTCTGAATCCAAAACAATCCATCAGAATCTTGATTGAATACACCCCTCTTATTCTCACTATGGGGCCCATCAATTAATAATGTTGGTGGGAGATGTGCATTGAATATTGCGGAGGAGGAAATAAGTTCCCCACTTATTCCTCATTGGGGTCTACCTCCAACAATTAGTGGAATGAATTCGAAGAGAAGACTGAGACACAGGCCGGGACCTGACACGCTGGTTACTACACCGGTCTTGCTCAGTATAAATAAGAAAAAGAGAAAACCCGGAAGAGGGGCCCCAGATAAGGGGTATGCCTGCAAGAAGGCTGGACCTGGAAGAGGGTTCGAACCGTACTTACACGGGCTCATGAAGTTTGATCGGTATCGGGGAGTCAGCCGAGACCATCAAATTGATTGGGGACTAAAAGATGCCCATTAAAAAAATAGAAAAGGATTGTTCACTGCAACGCATCCTACTCCGACTGGATCAGATTCCCCCTTCTCAGGGAAGACTTGAACGGGAGGGTGAGCTAAGGACTTCCCGGGATAGTAAATATCAAAGGGTCATTAAAAGACTTAATAACCTGGAAGAGGGGGGCCTGGAAGAAGGGTGCATTTTGGGCCTTGGAGAGGCTCGAAACCATCCGACATGGTTAATTCTCCAATGTTGATCTGGCCCGGCCAGCAACATTATCTTATAGGAAGACTGAGACACAGGTCCGGCCTGGCACGCTAGTTACTACACCGGTCTTGCTCAGTATAATAAAGAAAATATGTGACCCAATCAAACAGCTGGTACACTGGTCTCACACCGGTCTTGCACATATTTTCCAATAAGCCTGAGCTCAATCGAATTGGGTACACCGATTGCACATCGGTTTTAGCAAAAAAGTGAGCTGAGCTCATATCGGGGACGCCCGATTCATTTAAGCCCTCTATCTGAGGCACTTTTATCGAAGATGGTCTCCGCGGGACATGAAGATATTTACATCAGTCAACCGAGTTAAGACTGATCTTCAACAAAGCTACTTCATCGGTTACTTATTCGTACTAACATCGATCTCGATGAAATAACTATTTGAGGCATCGTCGCTTCATCGTACTAACTCTGGTATCGTATAACTATTCAAAGCATCGTTGCTTATCAAACTGACATCGCTCTCGTTGCGATAATAATTCGCGCGAATTTTAATCACCTAAAACCGAGCTCCTCGGTAAAAATAATAATTTTTTGAGCACGGCATAGGCCGGTCAAAAAAAATGTTGTACATATTATTTTTTGCAGGAAAAACTTCTGATTCAAGAAATTAGAGAATTAATGAAGATTCGGAGGACTAGCAATAATATCAACCGGTCAAGTATCCAAAGTACGAAAACTGAAGATATCACTCGGAGGACTTGTTTACTTTTTTAAGTTGATGATTCTCACAACTTAAAAAAGTGGAGGACTTCTTGATGGGAAATAATACGTGGCTCGGCCCACATTTCCTAATTATTTATGAAGAACAGTCAAACCGGACCTGTTTAATAAAATGGAGGAATAAGAGAATATTCCCCGAATATGCTTCCCCTCCTCCCCTATAAAAAGAGGGTCTGCCCTCAATGCTGAGGAGGCCTCTCTCAATACACTCCTTCCCTGCCCATTTACTGTTTCTCTCTCTAGAAGTCTATCATTTTTGTTCTTTGATAAGATTTTAAGCTCCATTAATGGCTTCCTAGCCTAAATCATGTACCATGTACAACCCCCAATATTAATAAAAATCCCCCGTTGGCAAGGTACCGCCAAAAAAGGCACGTGGTTTTCTCCCGATTTGGGTTTCCACGTTAAAATCCCCGTGTTTATATTTTGGTGTATTTTTAGACTAGTTTATCGTTTTTGCCCGGCTAAAAACGATATACCGGTCAATAATTTACACCATCAGTGGACAAATACAGTGGGACGGAAGGAGTATTTGACATGTAGGGACTAAATATATAAACGAATTATAACTGGGGGTCTTTTATGGAATTTACTCCATAAAAAATTATACTCCCTCCGTCCCACTCTCTTTGTCCACTTACCTTTGTACACACTATCCAATGCACTTCTTTAATCTATTTTATCTTGTAATTTGTATATTAAAAAATTATAGAAATTATATATTAATAATCTATATGTTAAGACAAATCAAACAAGATTACACATGACTATATTTAGGCTTACACATTGAAAGAATTTGATGAGTCAAAGTGTTTAGATGAACAGTTCCAAAAGTCAAAAGTGAACGAATATAGCGGGACGGAGGGAGTACATTTTAAAAAAAACCTAGGATTTGACATTTTGATATAAAAACCTTCAATTCTGCTTTCGATGCGAACGAAGCCCAAACGCAGCGGTGATTTGTTCGAAGTCTCACATCTCTGCCCCTCGCACGTTTCTACTCATACTCGGTACGCCCGCAACGCAGTTTCTCCTTCACTCTTTCTAACCTCCCAACTCTCGCCGCAGAACTCTCTGTGTAAGAATGGCTCAGGTGGTGGCCACTAGATCGATCCACAACTCCTTCCCGAGCCCCATTCGTGGATCGCTGCGCGGAAGAGCAGAGAAGCTTAAGCTGGCTGGCTTACGCTCTACATTTCTTGCGTGGAGTGAACGCAACGAACGTTCTAAAGCTGTACGGAAAAGTACACCGGTGGTTACTGCTAGTAAGTCTTCACGCTCCCAGCCCCAAATCCTGCCGGTGTCTGCTGACGATGTTTCCCAGGTTGTATTTTTTAGCTTTAAAGTTTCGAGTCCTTTCATAGTATAGCTTTTCTATGAAGGATTTTGTTTATAGAATTATAGATTAAGCAAGCTCATATATAAGAAATGCAGCATTTTGAGAAGCATGAATCACTCTCTTTGTTTATAAGTTTTCTTTCGATATCCTTCCCCACATTTATTTTTGTTTCATCCATGACTCAGTAAGGGGTATATGATACATGGGAGTTGGAACTGAATCAAAGATATTAGATCTCTATATTCGTTCATTCCTCTATGTTCTCGATGAGTTGTGATTCCATGATCCTAAGGTCCGCATGTGAAATGTGGACCCTCTCACATTTTTCATGAGCCGATGTGAAGATCTTTTATTTTTTTCAATAGCCCAATCCATCCAAGGCATTTATAAACTAAGGTCCATAAAATGAGTGTGGACCTTAGGATCATGGAAGAACTTTCCGTTCTTTCTTGATAGTCATGCATTAGCTTGTATAGAAAGAGCCCTATTACCAATTAATGTACTTCCATAGTTTCATGTTCATGTAGTTACTTATATACTACCTATGCTAATGTGACAATGAAATTGCAGTTATTTAATAAGTTTACTCTTTTGGCATTTTCTTAAAAATACTTGAGTCTATCCAGTTAATGAGAAACAGTTGTTATTTACGGAGTAGTATATAAGTAGTTTTTAACCTTATCTAGATAATCTGTGAGTTAAGATGCATGAGGTAAGGCCAGCTTGGTCTGCAGCTTGCACAATTACCAGGTTACTTAACTCATTTTTGTAACAATTTGCTTTACATTTTTACACTGATTTATAAAATCATTGTAATTGGAAACAGTACTTCTTCATTACTATGTAAATAGTTGTAGTTCATCCTTGCCATAATTTTCAAATTTCCTTACCTACAATATCTGTTTTATCATTCAGGGTGAAGAACAAATACAGTATTTACAGGCAGTTCAGCAACTTGATAACACCTCTGTAGGTACAGGGACTAAACCCATAGTGAGACGTAAAACGAAGATAGTTTGCACAATTGGCCCTTCTACCAACACAAAAGAAATGATATGGAAGCTGGCTGAAGCTGGAATGAATGTTGCACGTCTCAATATGTCTCATGGAGATCACACTTCTCATCAGAAAGTGATTGATTTGGTTAAGGAATATAATGCTCAATCAAAAGATAATGTCATTGCTATCATGCTTGACACCAAGGTAGATCTTCTTTATTTATAATTATTGTTTTGTAATTTTAGTCACTTGTTATAGGATGGATGACAAGCATTTCTTATACAACAACAACAACAATTAAGCCTTATCCCACTAGGTGGGGTCGGCTACGTTGATTAAACACTTCTTGTATATTGCTACATTTTGTGTTTGGAAAGGACCAATGACTTGCATTATACCAAATTTCTTGAACAAAGTTGGTTTCTACTAAATTACTCCGTAGTTCATTTCGGTTATGTTGGATTAGTGGATTCCTTTCTAACAGTGCACAATCCTAAAATTTACTATGCTTCATTTTCCACCAAGAAGTTCCCATTGATGCTTTTTCATCTTTCAAATTAAAAATTAATCAAAATTTGTGAATGCGGAATTGTTAACTAGAATTGTTAAAACTGGTAAATGTTACCATAGTGTGAATGCGGAACATCACTGTGACTCTATCCGTTCTTTTAATCTTGTTAAGAAAATGTTTCCACATTATGGTTTTATTTGTTTCACTTAAGGATTCTCAAAGGAATGTCTTTCCTTTTTTGTGTTTGGATGTAATAAATCACTCTATGGAAGCAAGATAATTTCTTAGTTTATTTTCATACGTGCGGCTATTTTCAAACTGACAGGGTCCGGAGGTTAGGAGCGGTGACTTACCTCAACCTATCAATTTGAAAAGTGGACAGGAATTCACCTTCACTATTCGAAGGGGTGTTGGCACAGCTGATTGTGTCAGTGTAAACTATGATGATTTTGTTAATGATGTTGAAGTTGGGGACATGCTTCTCGTTGATGGTATGTAAGAGTTATCCCTATTCAAGCATTTTGTTTAGAATCATTCAAAACAGTATTTTTTTTTGTATATTTTAAGGCGCCTTGTAAATTTGTAGTGGATCTGTGATATAAAAACTGTTCCATTTTCTTTATCTGGAAGGCTTGGACTCCAGAAGGGCTTAATCCGACAATTCCTGCTTCAATTGATGAAATACGTACTCAATATTCTGTGTTGTAGGTGGCATGATGTCTTTAATGGTGAAATCCAAGACGGAAGATTCCGTTAAATGTGAAGTTCTTGATGGAGGAGAGCTTAAATCTAGACGTCATCTTAATGTTCGTGGCAAAAGTGCCACCCTTCCGTCAATTACTGGTCGCGACCATTATCCTTCAAGATCTCTGTCATATACATAGTTGGACTTTTTGAAAACACACATACTTATGACTTGGTTATTGTTCATTAACATTTTAATGCAACAGAAAAGGACTGGGATGACATCAAATTTGGTGTGGACAATAAAGTTGACTTTTATGCTGTTTCTTTTGTCAAAGATGCTGCGGTGGTCCATGAATTGAAGAATTATTTGAGAAGTAAGTCCATATGATGTATTTCCTTCCTAATAGAAATGCATAATTGATAATTTACTGGTGGTTTCATGTTTCTAATATTATGTACGTATCTCTTCCCTATTACAGGCTGTGATGCTGATATTCATGTTATTGTCAAAATCGAAAGTGCAGATTCCATTCCAAATTTGCATTCAATAATAACTGCATCTGATGGGGTAATTACCTAAACTTTTGCTGGCAGGTGGATCCATTCTATTCAATAGATGTTTGAGATATATTTCCTGTGTGTAGGCTTTGCAACTTACATTAATAAGATTTTAACAAAAATTGCCCCTTTTGGTACAAGCAAACACCATATGTAACTTTGTCGCCTAAAATTCCCTTAAAACATGAATTCTAAATATAGTAGTTTGCATTTAATAAATTATTTAAGAGGCTATTGCGATTGAACTATTTATTTAACTCTTTTTTACTGCATTACGTATGTTCTTGTAAATCTGGTTTTTTTCTCTACCAGGCGAGTATGCATACATAGAGTAGTCTTTATATAATTGCAGTACCTTATTTCACCTGGGGTTAAGAAAGTATCTTGGTAATGCTTCCTTAGCTTCTAGGGTTGCATTATTTATCAAGGAGTAAATTATATAAAAGGTCCCCAGTTATAGGTCGTTTTACATATTTAGTCTCTACATATCAAATATTACTAATTTAGTCCCCAATTATTATATTTATTTCCACGAATGGTCCTTTGTTAACATTTCCGTTAAGAACGTGGATAAAATTGTATATTCATACTTCTCTCTCTCCTCAATTAAGCTTTCTTCATCTTCTCATACTCTTTCCCAAACTCGTCGCTGAGTTTGAAGCTTTTAAACCCAAAATTTAAATGATCGTTCCTCCAGTTAGACAAACAATTGAGAGAAGAGTGATGATTTTGGTTTAGGGTTCAAAGCTAGAAACTCAGCGACGGGTTTGAGAAAGGAGTACAAGGGAGGAGAAAGCTTAATTGAGGAGAGAAAGGAGTGTGAATTTATAATTTTATCCACGTTTTAATGAAAATGTTAACAAAGGACCATTCGTAGAAATAAATATAATAATTGGGGACCAAATTAGTAATATTTGATATGTAGGGACTAAATATGTAAAACGACCTATAACTGGGGACCTTTTATGGAATTTACTCTTTATCAAGATACTTAACCAGTTTACACAAAAACAACCCAGTTGGATCCCACGAAAGTAGGGTCTGGAGAAAGAAGGATACTTAACCAGTTTCTAGCTCTATATTCCTGCTTTTGGTTAAAAGCCATGAGCTATAAGAATCCTTATCTATTATGCATTGTTTGCAGGCAATGGTTGCTAGAGGTGACCTTGGTGCTGAGTTACCAATTGAAGAGGTCCCATTATTGCAGGTAAGCCCCTTTTTCGATAACCAACACTTGAGAATTAACACGTGAAGGGATTTTTTGATGAATATTTCCAATCATTTCACTGACAGAAAAAATATTTCCCTGGAAATGCAGGAAGAAATAATCAGGATTTGCCGAAGTATGGGAAAAGCTGTAATTGTTGCTACAAATATGCTGGAAAGCATGATAGTCCATCCAACCCCAACCCGAGCAGAGGTATCGGATATTGCAATTGCAGTGAGAGAGGGTGCCGATGCTGTTATGCTTTCTGGTGAAACAGCTCATGGCAAGTAAGTGACTCTTTATGGCCTACTCACCTACCTTATTCAGTTTAGGTTGTCAATGATTTCTCTCAATTCTTAGTTAGAAACACCCTTTCTTCCAATTTGACCCATTATCTAAGCTTCATCAAGCCTGCTTAGGGTGGAAGAGTGATACATATTATAAACAGAACTTAATTTACCTGAAACAGATTTCCCCTTAAAGCTGTTAAAGTTATGCACACAGTCTCCCTGAGGACCGAAGCAACCATTGTTGGTGGTGAAACGCCCCCAAACCTAGGCCAAGCCTTCAAGGTTACTTGTTAATTGAGTAATTTATTGTTATTTTCTTGCTATGCCCAAATTTCTTTCCTCATGTGCTATAAATTGTTGTTCCAATGCCATCACATAATTTCTTTCCCCACAGAACCATATGAGTGAAATGTTTGCTTTTCATGCGACCATGATGTCCAACACCCTGGGGACCTCTGTCATTGTCTTCACAAGGACAGGCTTCATGGCCATTTTACTGAGCCACTATCGGCCTTCAGGCACTATATTCGCCTTCACAAATGAGTATGTCTCTTCCCTTCATTTATAAATAACTATTTGGCATTGCTGAATATCACATCATGTTTTACCACAGACAAGACACTCTATGGTGTTTGTCTAGTGGTGAGAGACAAGTGGAATAATTACTTGCGATGACCTAATTAGGAAAGAAGGAACAAAATTATGTGACGGAGGGAGTATGTTTTTTAACGTTTTTTTATTTGCAGGGAAAGGATACAACAGAGGTTGGCACTATACCAAGGTGTATGCCCTATATATATGAAGTTCTCTAGTGATGCCGAGGAGACCTTCACAAATGCATTGTCATTGCTGAAGGTGAAGTTAACCTCACGTTATCACAGTCTTTTCTAGCTCTAGTAATGTTAGCATTAATAAGGTTCTCAGTTCAAAAAAGTAATTTTCAAGTCTTTGCGTGGGGGGTTTTCATGCTCCCGTGCTCACACATTGCATTGTTTGCCCATATATAATATATACAGAAGCAAGGGATGGTGAAGGAGGGGGAGCAGGTAGCACTTGTTCAGAGTGGCAAGCAACCCATCTGGCGACTTCATTCGACTCACAACATTCAAGTTAGGAAAGTTTAGCCCGAAGACAACTGTCTGTCCCTTCTTCAGAATGGAGGACCCTTGTGTGTGCGTTTCGTTACTAGATAGATGCATCAACTCTTTCTTTCTTTTTTTTTTCCTTTTCTTTGTGCGGCTTTAATTTTCTCCCGTGTCATATTTTATGTCAACTCTTAGTATGCTGCTTTATGAACATTTGGTGCATTTTTTTTATTTATCTATTTTTTTGTAATCAAGGTGATAGTAATAAATAAAAACAATATAAATTTCTTTGGTAAATTGTCGCTTATTAGTTTGCTTTTGTTCATCGCTGGTATGATAAAATATTCAAAGTTTAAGTTACGTAAACGAATAGAGTATATTTTTTATTTGATCCTTATAAGAATATCACACGATTGGATTATAAAAATGCAACAATGACAATTTCATTTTTATTGGAGTAACATTCAAATTTAGAAAACATTGTACTATGATAATAAGTACAAGAATATTGCAAGTGAGTATATATGTATGGCTTAGAGCAACTCCAACCCACCTTTTATATTTTCGTCATCTAAATCTTATTTTAGCTCTTGAACAGTGTTTTAAAAACTCATTTTTTGATATTCACTCCAACCATATCATGTATTTTTAACCTCCAACTCAATTCCTTCATCTTGGAAACATTCACACCCTGCAAAAAAAATCATACCTTCTGTAAACTCAACTATGCCGCCCTAAACCACCGCCGCCACTCGCATAGACTGGTAGTTGCAAAAATCGAAGTACTAATTAATGAGAAGATCCATAGTTCAATCGCAAAACTCAAGATGTAGTGAAGGAGAAGATCTGTAGATCTATACCTTGAAATTGCATATCAGTAATTGTCAAAAAAATCTCCATAGTTTTCAAAGAGAGGAACAACAAATAGAATATGCAGATTGACATCGGCGATTGGCGATTGGTGAAGCGGAGAAGATAGTCCCAATCGAGATTCGAGAGGAAGCAATTTACACTATCTACAGGAGCATTTATATTTGGAAGACGAGAGATGGAAAATACATTTCCTTCTATTTTATGCCCTACCCGTTTGGAGCTCAAAATTATGTACAGTAAATGCTAAACCCTTTATTTTACGGAGTATAAACTTTACTCAGTTTTACACTGCGCGTTGGAGTTGCTCTTACTCTGTATATACTCCATTATACTTCTTCCGTCTCAATTTGTAGTGTTTGTTCACTATTCACAGGGTCAAACTTTATTCACTTTCTTTTTCTATTTTTATTAACAATTTGATAAAATAAAGTACTATGGAGTATTATCACTATTAGTTTTATAGCTCTTTTGATGTAGTGTAAAGGAGGAAAGAGAATATTCAGCATTTATTAGCATTTATTTCCGTATATATTAGTTATGGTAGTTGCCTTGTATAGAGATTCCTTTTCCATTGTTAATTAGGACTCTTTGCTATATATACGGCTGGATTGTAAATTGTAAAAGACAGAAAGGAATACAAAGATTTTGATTCCGAAACAATTCTTTCATGGTATCAGAGCCAAAACTCTAGGAATTTCCGCACGATCGCCCGGCATCGCGTCCATCGATCGTTGCTCGCTGTTTCTGCCGAGAAGACCGGAACGGTCGACCGTTTGTTCATAACGGTCGAAGACATCGACCGTCCCGACGGCAGAATCTCTAATCGCTGCTGTTTTTGATCCAACTCTTGAACTCTGTCATCTGGTATGTCTGAAGAAACGCCTATGAAGATCATTTCCGGTAAGAAGAATGAAGAACGAGAGGAGGAGGAGGTTGGAGTGCGATGTCGTCGTATCTCGCCTTACGATTTGTCTCCAAGCGACAATCCGGGTATGATCTTGACCCATGCCGTTCTAAAGGGAGATAATTATGATGAGTGGTCCAAATCTCTACGCTTGGCTCTACGAGCTCGCAAGAAATTTGGATTTGTTGATGGAACAATTGAGATGCCAGATCCCGATTCAGAAGATTTTGACGATTGGTGGACAAACCATTCACTGTTGGTCTCTTGGATCCGGAACACGATTGATCCAACCTTGAGATCCAGCATATCTTTTATGGAAAAGGCTTCAGATCTATGGAGCGAGTTGAAGGATCGTTTCTCTGTGGTTAATGGACCAAGGGTCCAGCAGTTGAAGCGAGAATTGGCGGAATGCAAACAGAAGAATCTTTCTATAATGGAATATTATGGAAAGATGAAGAAGTTGTGGGATGATCTAGCAGATTTAGAGCGATTCCCGATCTGCACGTGTAGGAATTGCACGTGTGACTTGCAGGAGAAGCTCACGCAGATGCGTGAGAGGGAACGCTCCCATCAATTTTTGATGGGTCTGAACGATGTTTTGTATGGGACTTTGCGGTCAAATCTGTTGGCCCAGGAAACCATACCACCGGTGTCAAGAATATATAACATTCTTGTCCAAGATGAGACGGCACGACATGGCATGCACAAAGGAGAAAGCAGTGAAGCAGGTGCATCCGTGTTTGCCGTAAAGAACAAGATGGAGGTCAAAGAGCTCATGTGCTCACATTGTGGGAAAACAGAACATGATATTGAGGCATGCTACAAGCTGATCGGGTACCCAGAGGGATGGGTGTACCGCGATCAGGCTGGAAGAGGAAGAGGAAACGGCCGGGGAAGAGGTCGTGGTGCTGCACGAGGTGGCGGACGGTCGACCGTGGCGGCTGTACGGTCGACCGTTACGGGCGGACGAGGGGAAGTCCATGCAGTTCAAGGAGAAGAGAAAGGACCATCCCCGCTCTCGAGTTTTGAGGATCTGACACCTGAACAGTGGAACGCTGTTCGCCATGCACTCTCGCTCTCCCCTACAGATAACTCACAGAAACTCTCAGGTATCCCTGTATCACCTCGTTGGATAATTGATACTGGTGCGTCCAATCATATGACAGGTGATCTTTCGTTATTATATGATGTTGTGGGAGTGTCTCCTTGTGAAATTGGATTGCCTGATGGGAAACGAGTTGTGTCTGTTCAATCTGGAAAGGTTGATCTGACTATGACTATGACTTTGCAGAATGTGTTGTTTGTTCCAACCTTGAATTGCCATTTAATTTCTGTGTCACAGTTGACAAGGGATATGAACTGTGAAGCAAAGTTTACCAATGATTTGTGCATCTTATAGGACCTAAGTTTGAGGAAAACGATTGGTGTGGGTAGACATGAAGGAGGATTGTACTACCTAAAGAAAGAAGGAAGGAGCATGGCGTGCAGTGCTGCTAAGAAGAATGTGTTTGACCTTTGGCACAAACGTCTAGGACATCCTTCTTCGCATGTTTTATCCTTAGTTCCTATAGTTGGTTCAAATAAAAGTAGTCATAGTCATTGTGATATCTGTTTGCGTGCTAAACAAACTCGTGCCAGTTTTCCTATCAGTTTTTATCAATCTATGGACAAGTTTGATATGGTGCATTGTGATGTGTGGGGTCCTTATCGGACACCAAGTTTGGATGGTTCTACACTGTTTTTGACTATTGTAGATGATTTCTCGCGTGGAGTGTGGGTATATTTGCTTGATTCAAAACGAACTGTAGGGAGTGTTTTTAAACAATTTTGTGCCATGGTTGAATGTCAATTTGGGAAGAGAATAAAATGTGTGAGAAGTGACAATGGTACAGAATTTGAGTGCTTGAATGAATATTTTTTGGAGAAGGGAATTGTTCGTGAGACATCTTGTGTGTCTACACCACAGCAAAATGGAAGGGTGGAGCGTAA